TGATTTATGGTGCTATTTCACGTAAACACTGTTGAACAGTTTTTAATGATGTAGCTTGGACGAGAAAATAACATATGGGATCAATTTATTCAGAAATACACCAAGGAATATTTTTACCCAAAATTGCCCTAAAGAACATGTCCTTTGAAGTCATGAATTATAGCTATAGATGATGCTGGCAGTTTGTTACAAGACATATTTTAAAACAAGCTTTTGCCGCGGCTTCGTCCGCGTGGAATAGTGACTTCCGACAGATTTTTGGTTCTTCCCACATAGTTCCCGTTCTTGCGGGGTTTTCGGAACGGTCGAGTTCCCGTAGAATTTTCAGGATTAAACCTATGTTTTTTTTTAATTCACAATGAAGTACCCTTAACCAACAACATATTTATTTGTTTATTTGAATAAAGATTAATATTATTATGTTGATGCAACTTAAACAAATTATTTCGACAAAATTAGGTACCAAAAAAAAGGTTTTTGTGACTTAATCTTAAAAGATAGACATATACTGTCGCGGACTGTTTTTTAGATCATATAAAGAGCTTTTATTCTTTAATACATATTTTTTGTGTATCTTGAACCGTTTTCACGGCGCACGCAATGAAAGGCTTCAAATATGAAATAATTTCTCCCGTTTTTTACACATTTACCACTATATCTTTGCTCCTATTGGACGTAGCGTGATGTTATATAGTCTACAGCCTTCCTCGATAGCTGGACTATCCAACACAAAAAGAATTATTCAATTCGAACCAGTAGTTTCGGAGATAAGCGCTTTCAAACAAACAAACAAACAAACTCTTCAGCTTTATAATATTAGTATAGATAACATTATAAAATTTTCTGTGAAACATGATAAGTTGGAGCATACCTAAGTTAGTAAGATGTCACATAAAGTAATTCATCACAACTATTTTTAATTTTTGAAGGAAATAATAACAAAATAAATCGTCTTTGATGCTGCTGAAGCGCTTTCGAAAAGTCTTTAGCACTATTGACCTATATTAACTAGTATGAATGTTTCAATGATTAATATGAAAAACAATTATTTAACTAATATTATAGTACTAAATGAATATTTACGTATATTTTCTTTATATAAATATAGTAATTGGTATACTTATAAAGAATTATTCTTTTTTTTAACACGAATCCAAGGAAACCAAAATATCATTCATTTGATGTTCAGACATTTATTTAATAAAAGTATACGTGGAATATTTTTTTCCTTTTAACTTCTATGTTATATGAAGTATGAGTTATGAAATATTATGTCAGTTATTGCAATAAAATATGTCACGTGTTAAATGTTTCATACATGGCATTCTTTGATAATAATACACTCTGCAATACGAACAGTTACACAACCTAACTTTATTTTTTTTTGACAACGAAAGTATATAGAATTTAATAGTATTTTCTGGATATAATTATAAAAAATCCGTTTTGTAATACTCTATCTATGTCGTAATTGTTTTTTTTTAGCCTATCAAAGCCCACTGCTGAGCAAAGGCCTCTTTCTCTCATGAAGAAGGTTTGAGCATTAATCCCCACGCTTGCTCAAGACGGGGTGGTGATTTCAAACTTATAATTGTGAAATTATAAGTCCAAGTTTCTTCACGATGTTTTCCTTCACCGTCTGTCAGTGGTGTCTAAATACTCTTAGATAGTACATATGACTCGGAAAAATCACATTGGTACTTGCCAGGATCGAACCCGCTCCCGTGGCAACGGGAGGCGGGCACTTTAACCACCAGGCGACTTTTGTTATCAAAATTGTTATAAATAAAATATTTATTCAGGGAAATTTCGAATATATAAAGCTTGGATTACACATAATTGAATTCTTTATATTTTTTTGAACACCTGTACTATATACCTATTAATTTGCCTTGATTCCGGTTAAACCCTACAATCAATCAACCCTATCGCTGTCAGGTTTTCCAAAGCCAGAAAAAGCCAACCGAAAGGCAAAAAGCGAAACTACATCCAACCATACGTTAAAGTGATAAATGGAAATACAACTATTGTGAAATTTAGTAGCATTGTAAAATGTGAAGGCATTCTTTTGAAAGGTCGCTCTGACCTGAATTCGTGGAAGATATATCGTTTGGTGAATACTGTCTTTTTGGTTAAGGTACTGTAATTGTTGGACAAAAAAAAATGCAAATATATGTAGATTATTGAGATTTTGAGAACTTCGTGAAATAACTTTGATTAGAAAAAAAATATACGGGTGTCGTAGGAAGCTTGATTTAGGTATATTTGTTTTATATATTGAAGTTTTTTAAAATCTTAATCAAATATATTCCCAGACTTACCTGAAATTGTAATTCCTCGAAATGCGTGGTTAGTTATACATATAAAATATTTAAAAGCTTTCGTGAAGTAAAGTACAATAGCTGACATAAAACCAACATTTTAAATTAACTGATTTACTATGTTTATAGTTTGGGCTTTAAATAAAAAATTTTAGAAATTTATATATCGCCTTGTGACCCATACGTCTCCATCATAATTAATCGATTATTTCAAGTTCAATTGTATATTAGAGACGTCATTATGTTTAACATCCAGTGACGACACACATATTAAGTCAGTGGTGGCCTAGTGGTTAGAGGGCGTGAGTCTCGTTGCCGAGGGCGCCGGTTCGATCCTGGCCCGGGCAAGTACCAATGTGATTTTTCCGAGTCATATGTATGTACTTTCTAAAAATATTTAGACATCACTGATTAATGCTGATTCTTAATGTCAGGCAGGCGGCCGGTCGTAAAAAACAATTAGCCAAAACTATTCACAGCATATAAGGCAGACCTGGGCTAAAGCTGGGAAATTGTCAGGTAGAAGAAGATTTAGTGACGACACACACATTGAGGAATGTTCACGGATCGCTGTTCGTGTGTGTGTATGTGTGTGTGTGTTAACGTTATATATGTGTGTTTTTGTAATACATTTTATATGAAACATCTTTATGGTATTTTGTCTGAACATGAACTTTTAAAATGGTATAAAGTTTTCGCATCACTAAAATTTGAAATATAGGTATAATATTTTTTTATCGTATTTTCCAATTCATAAAATATTCAACAGGTATTTTTAAGAAACAATTGGAGCCTAAACAAATATTAAACCAAAGAAAATTCGTTGGTACTTTTTAAACCCTTTTACCGCACGGAATTTTAAAAGCTTTGCCGCGAACAATCACCGGTTTTGTAAAAAAATTTTAAAGAGAATTCGAATTATTTTCGTATCTCCGCTTGTTCACGAGGAACATTGTTTTTGGCTACTTTTATGTGGCTCGGTTAATCTCTTTTCCCATTTAATACCGACCTGGAAAAGATGGGTATAGGGAATTGAATACCAGAACAAATAAAAAGTTATTTTTTCATTAAAACTCATGTTAATTTATTTTCCAATTTATTAACTTCTTTTAAACTTTAAAAATACAGTTATTTATCATAATTATGAAATATTTTATAGATCGTGTCTCCTCCTTCCAACATGACACTGGCAGAATATACTGTTCAACTCTTTGCTCGGATGAAGACCATGCTTAAAACAACCAACCATCCAAAATAATATATATATTCTTAGAAACAAGATCAGACTTTTTTTTTTTGTTATCGCGGTGAAAGGTTTTATACCTACCCCTCCGTCTAGGGGAGACAGAGGCGGTTATGTGGGATTCACGGCCAGAAGGGCCCATGTTACCCGCTAAAACACCAGCGGTCACTCTCCGTTGCCGCCAAGTGGATCGCCACGGGAAACGCCGAAGCATGCATCCGCGACGATCCGGCGGCGGGCTGCGAACGGCCACCTCCCCCCCCGAGGGCTCACTCCAAGTGACCAGGAGTGTCCCCCCGCCTGGCGGCCTTGCTTAATCGCGAGAGGGTTAACCCCTTACCCCTCCCACCCAAGCCCACGCGGCCAGTCTCCAACCACCCATCCGACGAGCGCAAGCGCCCGACGGCAGACAGAGAGGAAACCGACCGATCACAAGCGAACTCAGGCCTCCGGAGAGACCCGAGTATCCCCTCCCCCCCAAGACAGCCACGGACGGCCTCCTGCCAGATCCTTGACCGTCTTACTCCCAGGGCTGTACCCCCAGCCCTCCCCCCCCCGTGACTGATTGCACCGGAATACACCAGTGGGCGATGGGGTCGTCACGTCCCGACGCCGGACTGCGCCGACACGTAGGGCCGAACTTGGCAGCGGCGGTGTACACCGCCGAGCCTCGTCATACCCACCTCCATGGGCTGCACCCCCAGCCCGGGCCAAGACCCCACGAGGAGGTCAAGGCCCTTCCCCCCCGTGACTAATTGCACCGGAATACACCGGTGGGCGATGGGGTCGTCACGTCCCGACGCCGGGAAACAAGATCAGACTTGACTTGTTGACAAATAATATTTGATACAATTTAACTATCAATTTAATATATTAACACAAAACTAAAAACAATTTTAAATTTATTCTTTCAACTATCTCGATTTAAACTTAGCTTCAAATGAAATCTAAAATAAAACACAAACGAAAGTTAACACGCTTTAAAAATCTATTAATCTATTATACTACCGCGCGAAACGAACGAAGAGTCTGATCTCCTCCAACAACTGCTTATATGTGGTTAGAGCCTCTCCTACCTTCTCATATTTCAACAATATATATCTGTATTTATAAAAGAAAGTTGTGTTACTAATTCTATTTATAATGAAAGAACGGTTGCAGGGATATGGTTGAAAATTAGTGGAGAGGTAGCTTAGAACCAGGAGACGTACATAGGATATTTAATGCTGTTCGATCGGAAAAGAAAAAAATACTTTAAAAAATCGATTATTTGGTTATTTATTTCCTTTGTTTATGGCGGAATACAGTTTGCCCGGTCAGCTATACATATATTTCTAATGCCGAATTAAGGCGATCAAAGTCGCAATCAAAAACTAGTATATGTATAATATTTTTATTGCGAAGTCAAAACATTGTCTTTGTTTTAGAATTATGCAATGCCGCTACGAAGATTCAGGCTTCATTCCGAGGCCATCAAGCTCGTAAGCAGACCCAGGCTGAGAAAACCCAGGAGCAGCAGGACAAGGTATGAACATTTAGGTGTTGCAGGTGTTAATAATAGAATCCAGGTGATGTCAATACATATGTATGTACGACAATTATGAGTTTATTTGAATAGCCCTGTTAATACTGTAAGTTATCAATGCAACGATATTTTTTAATTATATGTATATAGGTGTACATATATATTTATTATTTAGGCTCTTGTAATATTTTCGAATAATATAGCGAGTTTAATAACACAAATTTTATAAATGTACGAAATTACTAAACGATAAATAAAACAATTGATTTTCTACTAAAGTATTTTCTTTTTGATACTAGCTTTTTCTTATGATACTTTGTCAAGTAGAAATATTGTTTTAATTATTTATATTAATGAGTAAAGGTAAAAACTCTAAAATAAATGTAAACTAAGTTACTCTTAGGAGTAATGTAATGTGGTTAGCTACATAAGCGATTTCATAGTGTAAATACCAATGAAACGGTGTAGTTCTCTTTGAAATCAGTAAAAACAAACAGACAGACTGAAATTGTAAAAAATGTTCTTTGTATATTTTTATATTTACAGTATGTGGTGAATCCACATGCATTTCCTTGCTTGCGGTTTTTTAGATTATGTACTACAGGTATTTTAATATTTTTAAACCTATTACATACTCCCGACGTTTCCGTTCTTTTGTAGCATGGACCACGGTTATTAGTTTCATATAAGTAGCGATTATTATACTCTACTCTAATTTCTTTTATTTAAAGACCACATTTTTTTTCACAGGAGGACATAGAAAAGATTGATTTGGCAGACCCTGAACTCAATAAGGCTGCGACCAAGATTCAAGCCTCGTTCCGGGGACACAAAGTTCGCAAGGATACAAACTAAAGTATCCGCAGAATCTTCTCTTAGCAAGAAAACCCTTTGTATTTATGGCTTAGAAAAAGGACCCGTGCACTCATCCGTAAATTTGATATTCTCTTCTAAATTATTGTATGATAATAAAGAAATTTTTATTATAAACACTATAACAACACTATAACTTCGTATTCACTGCCAGCCATTTCGATTCATATATACAAAAGGTTTTTCATCATTGACTTATCAGTAATCGAGTATTCTACGTCAATTGTCTACGAAATTTAAAATCATATCTATAAATCATATTTAAGATATGTCAAGATATGCATTAACATATTCTTTGGAATGACATTATATATATACATATATGTTTATGTATCCTATATATTTTCTTTAATGTATGTGTTTTTCAATATGTTATAAAAAATCATTAAAATAATATGGTATTGTTATATTATTATTGTGTAATTTTCGCTAATCTTTTTTCGTCCTTTAAGTACTCATTAAAATTGCGTTATATTACTAACAAATGTAATTCTATTCTCAGTAGTTAATTGACTTGTAATCTGGTTACTGAAGCGTAGAGAAGAAGATAATTGGATAATTATGAATTAATATTATATATGTAGGTCAGTACAGTTTTTTCTAATACAGATTTTTTGGTCATTCTCATTAGTGCATTTATAGTAATCTTGCTTAGAGCATTCCTAATACCAAAGATTTTTACGGAAATTAATTTATTTAATTAAATATTTTTAGCTTGATTTTCTTTTATATAATTTAAGTCTTTTTTTGTATGTGATTACTTTAATTATATATCTTTATTGTTATTATATAATTCAATAATTGCTTGTTAAATTTAGTCATAAGGTAGATTTAGAATGCTTATTTTGAACACAGTTGTATATTATTGTTTTATTACTGTTACCGAATATAAAATCTTTTAGCATATTTTATTTGGGAACATTGAATTTCTTGTATATTGCCGGTTAAGTAAGTTATTGAATCATTTAATTAAATATATTCGCCTACATTTATGTGTGTTTTATTTCATTTTATCCGAAAACGAATAATATTAATGAACTCACAAAGTAATTTTAGTCACTAGTTGTACATTTCTCAGGGAATATAACAAAGTTAACCCTTTAACGGTCACAAGGAGTGGACGGTGGAAAAACAAAATTGATGTTGGTTAAGGGTATACAATAGAAGTGAAAACGTATGTATATATAAGTATATATTTGTCCTTTCATTATCAAATTGTCTATTAACAATCATAAAAGTAGCCTGATTAAAAAAATACGACTGGAGGACGAAATTTTGGTCAGAAAAAAAATCGTGGTGGTGAAAATATCGCCTCAACTTATAAAGCGTTAAAAGTATGTAATGAAGTAAATAAATGTAACTAAGTAAATGAAAGAGTATTTAATTTTAAGTTCGTTTCAATTTCATTTCAACCCATGTCAATGTCAAAATGTAACAGAATTAACAGACAATATTAAGCCTGAATTTAACTTGTTATAAATAAATGAAATGAAATATATTTGTATTTACTTTAAAATTATTTTGAAAATGTTAAATGAAGTACACTGGATTTATTACAAATTCTTTGATTTTAAAGAAAGAGACGCCAGTATCACTGACGTCACTAAATGTCTTCTAGAAGAAGTTCTAGAACGGTCCATGATATTTTAATGAAACTTCAATTGTTCTTAATGTTCCTGTATTTCTCGAAGGTTCTTCATAATCACATTATTCAATGGTCCGTACTAACTGAACTCTGAACCCTGCCGTCGTGCGTCCAGGCGTCATATTTGTACTCGAATTCAAACATAGTTCTATTCTACTTTTAAACAATCTTTGATTTCGTTTTACTTTTAACAATAATCATGAATACTAATGAGTTTTAATAATAATTGATGACAGGCTCAAGTTATTTTCATGTCGCATCCGTTATTAAAGCTAGTCGCGCCGATATATATGAAAGTCGACTTTTGTTTAAAGAAATATTTTATAAATAATCCCTTTTAAATAATTATAATAATTGACGACTTGAAGAAGTTCGCTGGAGGGCACTGAATGCAGAAGGCAGAGGACTGGGCGCGAATTGGAAGAGGCCTTTGTCCAACAGTTGACCAAGAGTGGCTAAATGATGATGATAAATGATAATAATTGACACAGAATCAGAATTAATTTAATGTACGTGTATGTACGATCAAATTAAGTAATAACTTCTGAATAACTATAGTAATTTTTAGTTAAGTAAAATTTTATTGTATCAATAAATGATGAAGGGAAATAAGAAAAACGAAGATTCATCTCCCCTTTATCCATCATACTTATATTAAAGGCTTAAATTTATTTCTCCGCCTCTGAATACACCTTAATCAATCATAGTTACATTTACAAAACAGTGATTTACTCATAATAATAGATGTAGAATATATCTTCTAGATGCTTGGTAATAACACTAAAAAGATATATTGAATCACTGTCTAAAGATTTTAACATCATGCAAATAAAATGTTGCTTCATTTGAAAATGAATTAATTTTTGCTTTCAAACCCATCTGATTGAACATAAAGAGATGTATAAAGTGTGTTAAAACAATACTATAAAGCAACAGCCCTCTTTGATTTATTAAACTACTTTCAAATTATTTAAAAATATATATGTAGTATAGTATCGAGTCTTTCTCTTGCTTGTGAATTGCGGAATAGTCGCAGCTCTGTAAATTCGGCAGCGTTAATCATTTTATAAGCACATTGTTAGAACCTGTGAGACATCAATCATTATTGTGTATTACTAAACCTATTTCTTTAGTAATTAATTTGTAAGGATAATTAAATTGCTTTGTTTATAATTAGTATTATGTTAATATACGTTGAAGCCTTTGAATTTTAAATAACTTGAACATCTGCAGTGTCATCTACCGGGTTGATTTATGGATTTAAACCATCCGGGGCGTCATCTAAACGTGTGCAAAAAACATTCAAATCGACCTAGCCGTAAAGGAGCTCAGCGACATACACAAGTATGTACAGAAAGTCAAATTATACACTCATATGTTTGACAGGTGTGATTGTCAGTACTTGAACCATTCCAGTATTGTCCATGTGCTGACAAACAAAGCATGTCAGAAAGGTACTGTAAAACTATAATTTTAAGTTATGTAGTTTTTACTGACAATAGGTTAAGGAGTGCACTATACTAACAATTTTGTAAATATGATCAGACAGGTCGAAATAAAAGATTATTATTATTATTATATGTATATAAAGATAATACCAGGAATCTATCTATATAAAAGAAAGTTGTGTTAATCCAACTATTTATAACATAAAAGCGGCTGTAGGGATATAGTTGAAAGTTGATGGAGAGATAGCTTAGAACCAGGAGACGGATATAGAATATTTAATTCTGCTCGATCGATACAAAAGAACACTTAATAAATTTTTATATCTGTTTATTTACTGCCTTTAGGACGGAATAGACTTCGCCCTGTCAGCTATACATATATTAATAATTCCGAAATAAACGCGAAGGATGCCGCGGTTAAAAACTAGTTGTTTATAAAATTTAAACCTGCCTTAACTTTTAAAGCTGACCTTTGCTATTCTAGGTAACAAAAGTTTATTCCTATAACGAGTACGACGTAAGTAGCGTAATAGGTAAAGTTAGCTGCATGATTTAATTTTATTAACGTATGTACTCACTAATTGACTTTGAACGGGAGCACAAAGTTTCCAGTTTAAAATCCGTTTATACAAAATATATTAAACTGAACATTTTCTATGTAAATAAAATAACTTTATCTAAATTATTAACACCGTATATAATACAGCTTGAAGTTATTATGATTATTGTAATCTTTATGAAAATACAATTTATTCTTCGGCCTGCGATAATTTATGTACAATTTAATTTTTCTTGGATTATTTTCGATTACCAAATCGGTGTTCCTTTGAGATCTGCAAATTTTCTGATCATTACTATTCGGTATTTTGGTTCCTTCATCAGATGTAGTGAAAATCTCGTATTTGGTAGGAATGTCATCGCATCGATTCCTTGTCGTGTTTCTATCTATTTGATACACATTTGCATAATTATCTGCATTAGAAATTGAATTCGTATATTGTTCTGTCACGAATATTCCATTATCTTGAGCCGATCTTTGTGATGAAGAATCAATATTGGAATTTTCGTTTTCATTATTCATATTTGGAAATTCTTTAAGTGTTGGAACAGTTTTTATGTTATCTTGCCTATATAATATGACATTGGTATCAGGGTCTAAAATTATGTTTTATTAATGATATAATAAAGAATCAATGAGTAAAAATAAATATATAAAAGTATATACAAACCATTTATAACGATTTCAATATCCGAAGTTCTTTCTAATTCTTCATTACGGCCTGTAGATTCATCACCTTTTTTATCAATATGATTAGGTATTATTTTATTTGCTGCTATTATTATATATTTTATTGGACCTATTTCTTTAAATTTATTATGTTTTTCTGTATGTGGAGTAGATTTATTATTTTCTTCTGTTATAGATACATCTGCTTCTTTATTTTCCTGTTTTAGATAATGAAATAGTATAGAGTCATCTGAATCCACACTCCTATTGGCATTTATAACTTCAATTGTTTTCACTTCATCATTTATTGTGTTATTTTTCATTGCATTTATATTAATCTCTTCAGTTAATTTTAGTTCAGTTTGCTCGTTATGATTTTTACTATCTGTTTCATATTTTTCATCCTCAAATGTTATATTCTCGTGAAATACTTTTTGGTCGTCTTTGTTTTTTGACAACACAACAATATTTGGAGTTTCTTCACCAATTATATTGTCTGTATTCTCCAAATGTGTCCCTATTTGAGGCGTTATTACATTTGGTAAGATTTGTTGATTTTGCGGCAGCGAAAAAGACATATTAACTTCAGGCTCAGCGTTTTGTGTTTTAACTTGAGATATTATTATTGGTAACTTGTAATTTGAAACATAGGCATTCAAAGGTTTGTGATAATTAGTTGGCACTGGTTTTGGATACTTTTTCCATTCTTCAGGGATTTTTTCTAAAACCTAAAATTATATCAACGTTCTTTATAATTTTTCAGAGCGATTTTTATTTAATCTAAACAACAAACTTACTACACAAAACACATTTATCTTCGTTAAATGAAAACAAAAGAAAAAAACCCAATAAGACTTCATTATACCGTCAGGAAAAGTAAATGAAACAGTAATGACTGTAAATTAAAAATTATGTTTTGTTTAAAATCTATTAAAGCGAATCTATACGGTTTTTCAAATATTTTATAAACAAAAACTATATAAATTTTATATGCATTATACGATGTTAAAATTATATGTACAGAAATAATGTTCCACGACGTATTAAAAAATAATGAGTCATTAATTTATAGCCAGTTTCTTGTTCAGAGTTAAGTCTTCTTATTTATTACATTAAAATATCTTTAATAACATTACAAAATAATATTATTATGGTACAAATACTCCAGATAAAAAAATATATTATTCGTATGTATGTACCGACAATCATTTACTGAGGTCTGATTCGTGAAGATAGAAAATATCGACTAATTTGAAAACGTTTATATGTAAAGCAAAAATAAAATATTGTTAAAAGAGATTTATTAATGGATTGAATATTAATTGAATATTGTTTTAAAGGTATAAAATAAATTACATTCCAGTTACATAGGGTGATTTTCACTTTAAGCTCAAGGAAATATTACTTATATGTATATTATAATAAGAGTTTCATATTAAAACTTATAACCTATACCCAAGACTGTATGACTGCCCTGATGTAAGGATAGCAATGTCATTTTATCAATTGCTTGTGTTGAATCATTAATATTCTGCTTCACACGGCTTGGCGTTTATTCGGTGGAGTCAGCAAAGATAATCGTAATATGACATTTGATATGACATTCGAAATATATATTAAAACGTTAGAATTTTGTAAGAAATATTTAAAAAATGACTGATACGTTAGCTACAGCAGATTCAAATCAAGCAAATAAAAATATTATATTTTTTTCTTGCAAGCAAGCTTTATGAGAATACATTTGCAAGATGACAGTAGATTTTAGGTGAACAATAAGAATAAGTAATACCTCCATTTAATAAAGCTTCTAAAATTGTATTATTGTTTTAAAATATATCGTTTTTTGTCATTATGAGACATTACTACAATGCCTACAGTTAATGTATTATGTCTGATAAGTCAAAACCGTCAAGAAAATTCGTAACTTTTATATCTATGTAATTTTTTTAGTTATCTGTATGAAATTATGATATGACAGCGTTATAAAATGACAGCAAAAAAAATACAGGTTCTAGAACATACTGCAAAAATAAATTTATAAGTTAAATTAATTTTTCCATCATAATATATATAAAATATATTTTTATAATCACTAGAGTGTATCTATTTAAAGATGTATTCCATTACGCCCACAGAACCGACGAGTTAAGCCGATCGGATAATTCCGCTGGAAATATTATAAATAAGTTCTAAAGAAAATTTTATCTCGATTTATTTTCCAGGAAAAATATATATTTAAAATTCAACGCTAATATTTACTAAAATATATAAATTCGTATATCGTATTATATAAGTGATAAAAAACTGGATAGAATTCTACAGCAGCTGAGAAGAGTAGCACAAGTAGAGTTATGACTCTACTGATGGCTCTAACTACATCCAGACGAGAGTTAAAGGGTAAAGACTTCCGAAGCGATTTTCCTTCGTAAATCACATCCTTTGGAGGAACTACCTGTAAATATAAAATTAATTATATTCGTTATATCCATTCAAATGTATGAATTATTAATAGTTTATTTTGTACCTGAAAAACTGTACCATCTTCTATATTAGATGGTGGGATTCCTAAGTATACTTTGAAACAAGGCTGAAATTAAGGATGGCCAAATGTTGCAAAACATTTTCTTTTACTTAAAACAAGATACGGTCAAGAATTTTTGGTTTCGGTTAGGTTGGAACCTAAGCAGTAATTGAACGGAATTTAAAAGCGACTTTAAGTTTAGTTTTGTTATTAAACCAAGCCTGTTTAACGTAACATTACAAAGCTCAAACCTTCATTCTGAATATTAAAAGGATTCAAAAGGGAAAGGGTCCTAAGCTTTATCAGTGTTAACCACTCGAAGATTGACCTCATAGTCTAGTATAAACGATTTTCCTAATAATCTCATTCATTACTTCCAATCGAGCATCAAGTAAGACACCCATACATTTTTGTTGGTCAAATTTAAATACAATATATTCAGTCATGCTTCATCAATAATTATACATAAGTTAATTGTTAACCTTTTCATTATCTCCTTTCACATCAGCATGGATTGGTTGAGCATGGTTTGTTAGAATATTAAGTACGCCGGTTTCATCTCGCTTCAATCTCGAGGCAAGCGAACCCTGGAAACACTTCTTGTATTAATAATGAGAGTTATATATAATGTTCGAGGTACAGTTTCAGACTTGTTTTCCAATGTTCAGCGTTACTTTCAGTGATGTCCTACAAAATTCTGAAGCCGGTATTTATAATTATCGAATATAAGTTGAGACTTAAATGTTGATACAAAATTTCATTCAGTATTATGATTTATTATATAAAAATAATTCTAAGGATTATACTATATTGTATTTTGTACGGCACGGAAGGCGCCACATGTAACAATAACTTTAAATAATACTACGCTTTTTAAATTTTAATTTACGATGCACTTAAGAAATACAGTGATAATAATGTCTGCTATTGTTTGATATCATAAATTTTTTTTTCAATGGTTCCAAATACGTATATGTAGAGGAATATATGTAACAAAATAAATTGATGTACTTATATACTTTAAAGTAACATAATTGTTGTACCCAGTTAATTTAAAAACGAAATAAATGAAGTGAAACTTGAAACATAATTAATACTACTGAGATAAAAGTAAACTATTGATATAAAGGTACCAAAAAAACTTTCAGACACGTATGGAGTTATATTAATGAATATTGTGAAAGAAAAGTTTTCGTTTCTATACAATTGTATTTTTGATATACCAAGTTGTGTATGATTTATGGTAACCTTATTACACCCAGAATTAATGACATAGAAATGTACCATTAATCAATATGGTCAATAAAACATTAAATGCTTTTAAATATATAATATTAACATATACTTACTCCGTCAATTTGACCTATTTCGACAAAAAATAGTACACATAAAACTGCCTTAAGCATTTTGTTTCACAACATTGTTGTACAATTTAAAAATATAAAAATATTTTTTATTGGTTATATAAAAAAATCAATTTATTTTTTATTACACACGTTCCATGAAAGAAATATACCAAAATGTTGAAAATATTTTCTCTGTTGATACTCTTCGTGGTTGTTAAAAGTCATCAGGGAGTAAGTATTAAAAGAAAATATTAATAAAAAACAATGGTACATATTTTCTAATTCATTTCTTTTTTTAATACTGTCCATATAAATATATATAAGATTATATATATTGGATTAATTAACACATTTAAAGTAAATACGTATCTAGAATTACTTCAAAGGCAAAATAAATAGGAATCTTCAACAAATTACATAGTAATTATCAATTAATCATTATGTTTAGCAAATAGTACTTTACAACAATTACCAACATGTGTCACGAGCATGTCAGTAGTTCTGAAAGACGTTTTAATCGTTAGTAAATAAAATTTACAACCGGCGAATTTACCTAACAATTTGGCTATAAACAACAAAATACATCATTGTTGCAAAAATCATTAATATATCGCAATATCACACAAAAAATTTCGTTGAAGTGATTATGACTTTTGCGAAACTTATTTCTCTTAATTAAAGACAAAATTGTATGGGCTCAAAAATATAAATAAAACAAAAATACATGTTACATTTTTTTAAAGCTTAAGTTTTTAATCGTTTTGCTATGATTATTCTCACATTCATTTATCCCCTCTGTATTGTAATGCGTAATAATAAATCAAAATCTCACAAGTCTTATTAAAAACTAAATTTCTTTTTAAGTAATCTCTTGATAACCAGAATATAGAACATTATGAGGCTTATGTGTCTACTACGAGTTTAGGAAATGAATTGGCAATAGCTATGAGAAAGTTAATAAAAAGGAAGTATAGATATAAGTAGGTATAAGTATTTATTAAGTCTTATGTTCTTGTTAAAAAAAATAGCAAATACACGGTAACCATTACAAAATATACCGTTACAATTTATGATTTCTAATGATGACAATATATATTTAAGCGAAATTATTATTAATAAATACAAAATATATTAAACTTTTTTCTTGCTATAAATGTTTATTGAGTAATGAAAATTAAAAGATATTGTATATAACATAACACTCAACAAGGTAAATGAAATAACAATATTTCTTTATTAAGGATAAAACGTATTTTGTTAAATTAGACGTGTTATCTCGAATGATGTATTATTCTACATATCCTCTTATCTCTGTTGGGACAAATTCTACTCAAAACAATATATGGAGGTTCATAAATTTACGCTCGTAATACCACGAAACATCAAACAAAATTTAGACAAAAAACCTGTTTATTTTCATAACTTTCTGATTAATTCTTTTATTAATTAAAATTGAAGTTTTTGTCTATCAAAAGATATTTAGACAGTTTTTTGTTAAAACATAACAAAAACAAGACTTCGTCCTGTTTATTCAATCATTTGGACAACGCTGTTTTAGTTTTGTTACATTAAAAATCATTGGGTATTTCTAGAATGAATGTAGTAATTCAGTTTTCAAATAGGTACATTTTATATTTCATTTATAATATAAATTTTATTAAAAACCTTGATTATTCTATTAAAATTATCTGAAATTTCATTGTGAATTAAATAGAGATCTATTTATTAAGACACTAGATTGATACTGACAACTCAGAGCCAATGTATTCATAACAATAAACATAAATTAATTAACCAGCAATGTGTAACTCGCTCATGAACGTATACAGAGTAAATTTGTTCTTCAGGGGTCGTGACCTAGTTTAATAATTATTTTGATGAACCGACCAACGGGAAAATGACCGGTTTTTGCTTGCTTTCAGAAGGTATATGCTTTAAACAGAACACATTCTTTTTACCCAGTTTTATAATACAATCTCGTAATAATTAGACAGTATGATAAAAATAATTTATTTTATTATTTATAATAAGACAAATATATTTCTACTAAATTTATCTTTCGATAGACAATCAAGCCTCGAGTTTCAATTAAAAGAATGCTTCATAAAACAAAACCGTAAAAATAAAGTTTCGTGGAATTGGTAAAGTTCATGTCGCAGTAACATATTTTGATATTTTATGAAATGTCTGTAAAATTATATAAAAAATTACTCTGTGTGAAAGTAAAAACAATTCTGATTATACTAAAGTATGATTCATGTAAGCTGATGTCTCTTTATTACGACTTACCAGTTATATTCCTAAATGTCTTATTACTAACTTGTGTTAGCTACTTTTCTTTGTTTTTATTTTATATACAAAAAATCTTTCACCTATAGAATAATGACGAATACTTTGAAAAAATTATTGAAATAATAGTTTTTGTTAGTTAACATATTAGCTGTGTTTTATATATACATAAAATAAAAAAAAGGTTTTAGAGTGTAAACTAGTATATTTTGTAATCATTAAGATTTTATTCTATAGCTGAATTTATCAATAATACGTAAGATGCTAAGAAATATCGTGTTTTTTACAGAAGATTAAAAATGAAGGAGACGCTCAAACAGCTTTGATGCCACAAGAATTAAATCCGGCGTTTGCATCGGATAAGGTACGTCATTAATATTAAAAAACTTACTAAACTGCCTTCCAACTTAGATCATTATCTCCTAAACTAGGTTTTGTTCATCATATAGTATTGTTCTTTATTATTGACCACGAAAACTTATGTACGTTGACACGGCCGGTATCAATCTTAATTATTATAATTACATATTAGATTAATATTTTTCATATACACATGCTAGTTAAACACTCATTGTTATTATTTTTTTCTTACTCATTAAATTATAATGTGATTTCTAAGACAAACCATATTAATTTTTGTAGGTTGTCAAATGTAAGCAAATTAATTAATACAATATTATATAGGATTAGGTCAACAATATTATCTTTCAAAATATATAATACATATATATGAAAACATAATAAACTGTTAAAAAAATAGTTACGAAAGTTTTAAAATCATTTTTTCTATCAAAGTAATAATTAAATTTTGGCTTTTAAAACTAAAATAGAATAAAAAAATAAAAACTTTTCATTCAAACTGTGGAATGAAATTCACACAACAAAAACCCAGATATTGCAAACCCACGTAAATGTCCACAATATAAAATATTTTTTTCATAAAAAATGCTTTGAAGTTGTGAGTTTTAATTTCAAAAGTTACTTTATCTAGCGTTATCTTCTAACTTTAAGCTTATAATACTTTTATTCTTCTTCTTCTACCTGGCAATTCCCAAGCTATAGCCAGGGTCTGCCTTACATGTTGTGAATAGTTTTGGCTATTTGTTTTTACGACCCGCCATCTGCCTTACATCAACCCTCTTTAGGAATGCATTAATCAATGGTGTCTTAATACTCTTACATATGACTCGGAAAAATCACATTGGTACTTGCCCGCGCCAAGATCATACCCACGACCTCGTGCATGAGAGGCGGGCCTTTTAACCACTAGGCCACCACTGAATAATACTTTTAATATGAATGATATTATTTTACAAAAGCATAGATTAATTTTGTCTTGTTTTTAGGATTCCCCGTGGCGTGCAGTCATACCTATACGACAAAGACGAGATGTTGATTCGGATACAACATTGTGTAAACTGAAAAAGTACAGTCGTGTTATAGCTTGTATAGTACTAGCTGCTTCAGCTGTTGTCGAGATTGTTGTTTACTTCATTGAAATGTATTCCTTGTAGTACCTGAGTGATAATATTATTCATCTGTTTTGATACGTGTTTTATTTCTAACACAACAAAAAAGACAGCAGTTTTTTTATTACAGATTATTTTGGTCTATTCTGTAACTTATCGTAAATATAATTAGAGCAATTTTTAAGAGAAAATTTTATTATGTAAAATCACCATATAAAAGACAAAAATGATAATTTTGTATGATAATAATGATGGTTCATCAAAAACCTCTTTAGGTAATGATCTCACAATACATATGTAAGATTTAAACTTCAATATTATCTCCCAAATTAGATAATGGTATTAAACAAATTAAAAATGATCTTTCACATTCATTACTAATAACTCTTAAGTTATACCACATTTTGATTAAAACCTGGTGACTAAAATAGTCTTTATATCATTCTTAAACACTAAAACCAGTCTGAACTAAATATTTTAACTTTCTGGTCGATACAGCGACCTTTTTCTCGTATTTCTTATTTTTTCATGAATCCTTTGCCGAAAATACTTGCTCATTAGCTTATTGATTTTATCCTATTTTTATGAACTCTCAACTGTCTGAGAGAACAAAAAGCTTGGATATTTTTTCAGGCTTTTTTAGGATCGGGAAAGTTAGGAGTATTTTTTTTAGTCAATACTGAACTTTGCATGATACTAAAATGATACTATTTTATAAAAGAAGCAAACTTATACGGTGATATATGTATGATGTCTTTAACAATATCAAATTAGATGTTTTGTTAAGCTTGTACAGTGATTTTTTCCATAATTTATTTAACGATTGAGTGCCATAGTGGGTTTTAGTAAATACATATGAATTCAAATATTTAGAGGATTGATTTTATATTTGCATATCGCAAGCGACAGTAAATAAGTATTATTGATAAAGCCTTGATTAAGTATATTATTTAATACATATATTAAAAGATTAATTTAGAGATTTACTTTACAGCACCTTATTTAGTAGGTGAAATGATATAACAATATAATTGCAAAAATCCGTTTAATTGTATATTACAGTACTGAATAATAAAATCAAATGGCATAGTATTTATACCGACTTTCATACTAACTTATCTATATTAACCATTACTATAAGACACCTTTGAAATTTATTAAATAATAAAATATTATTACTCTTTGTTATAATACAATTATAATTAGCAATAGATTGTGTTCTAGTTAATTACTGTTTTTCTTTTATTACACTAGAAGAAAATAATTATATACTCTCTAAATTTACTTTTGAGACTTTTGTAAATAAGTAATGTTATGATCTCGTTTATTGGATACTATGTACATTTCTTTTTTATAAAATTAAATGCTTACATATCACAAGAATGTTGATATAGTAAAGATTATTTATTATTCAACACATCGCACGCTGAGAACGAAAGTGACCGATTTCAAAATTTTGGTTAAATGAGTTAAGTATACAGAATGACTTAAAAAAGTATATTCTATCATAATTATATTAGAAAACTGACCAATAAAGGTAAGAAAAGGATAGAGGTATATTTCGGTCTCTTTGTCACTCCAGCGTTCCCTCCCCCCGCGCCCGAATGAAAGTGACGAAATCAATCTTGCACCGTGAGTTGTCGTGACAAGACGTGACAAGTTTAGCAACGTAGTGACCGATTACGCTTTGTGTCTGTTTGTTTGAATGAAATCTTAAAAATAAAACTGACTTATTTTTTAGAAAAACATATTTTTTTAAAACAAAGTTAGAAATGAACAGACCTTTACCTAAAAAGGTCAGTAGAAATAAAAAACTTCTAATACTAAAGTGACCTATTTTTTCGATTTTTTTTTCTAAACTTTATTTTATACGAGAAAATCATATTTTTTTGCAAAAACTATATAATGTTTCTAAAGCTATTTAGTGAAACAATAAATTTCAACAGAAATTCATAACTTTTGTTACCATGTTTTAGAGTTATTGTAAAATGAACAGAAAATGTTTAATACAACGGACACATTTTCGCTCTTTCCCAAAAATTAGCAATTTTGAGTTGAGTCACTTTCGTTCTCAGAGTGCGACATGTGTTCCTGAAAGAATACACTTTGCAATAAAGTTTAAGTGGATCCAAAGAAAGCTGGTATGTTCACACTTAAATGCTTTTTATTTCCCTGATGGTGTATAGAACTGGGTAAATTTCCGATGACTTATTGTCATAAAAGTTACAATAGATTGTAGATAACACCTAAGTCTTAAAGTGTATTAAAAATATATATCTTTGTAATGTTTTTGTATGAAAATAATATGAATATATGTATTTATCTTTCTTCTTAAACTAGATACAGTTAGGTTTTTATATTTTTACAGCAATTTCCACCTTTAATTATTTAGAAAGGTGGAAATGAAGTCGTAGGTTGTAAAAGCAATATCTCAGAAAAAAGATTAGAGATTTTTCGGGTACACTAATGTTAAAACTTTTTTTGTTAGTCGTTTTCTTTTTATACATATAAATGTTACATTATAAACAAAATATATTTCACTACGAATCTTTTCTTTTAAATATTTTTTGATGTCACCTTATAAGGATCTTTAAAAAATTAAGTTTTCATTCGTGTGAAAAAACTTGATTCAATAATCCACTAATTCTGGACCGCGAGTCTCATCGAAAATTAATGTATAAATTTGGGTCAAGAGGTGTGTATAGTTAAAATTACATTAGGGGTTGAAAGAAAGAGAAGATAAATCGATTCACTATAAGAGTGAAAGGGATGGTGAATGAGCAAAAACAAAAAGCAGCCTTTTGTGTTAGAATTGTAATTAATTGATGAATATTTTAATAGAAAGCTACGGAAAAGCAACAAAGGTATATTTTGACAGTGTTGAGAATGACCAGACATATTTTTGTACTTAATCAACTCATAAAAATGATGTCAAAATATTACGTATTCAAAAGAATTACCTAAAAGATTCTTAAAAATAATAATAAGAACATATCTTTATTAGCAACAGACTATTACAAAACAATTAAGTTTTTAAAGCGTTTCTTTTACTTTGATGAAGCACTAAATCTTTAAAATAAGTAATATATTATAGTATTAATGTTCTAAACATTTAAGTTAGTTTCATTATCATGACTCACGGCATAGTACCCTTGATATATCATCATTTATCCACACAAACTGTGAATAATCAATCAAAACGTGAATTCGATCACTTAGCGTATTCAATTTGGAGCGTAACAGATGTGTTCTATAAATTATATTAACGTCAAACATTCAATATAAAAAGGGGATTTTCTTAAGGAGAATCACATTAGTTTGTCACCGAGATCATGAAGTGGCTCTTGTTCTGTGCGTTCCTTGTACTTGTTGCACATTCGTGGGCGATGGTAAATATACTGTTATAACATATTTGGTAACAATTGGTAACATTTAGTAACATTATCGGTAATATTTGTCGATAAAGAAATGGTTTTAAACCTACCGGCTTCATTGGTTTACGATTGTATATTATAATAGCATCTAAAGGCAATAATAGCAACTTCAATTTCGGTTGGAATTAATCTTCATACAATTAAAAAGTGAGGAAAATCTTTTAACTCTCTTCTTTTTTCTGTGTTATATTTGAAACAAGAAATGCTTTTGTATTTCTTTAATAAGCTCCTTCAAAATTTTGTTATCATAAGAAACTTCCCCCGCAAAAAAACCCAAGTGTAAAATTTATTTGTATAATTTAAAACGATTATTGAATTTCGCTATTTTGTTATTCAATTCAAAGTAATTTCTCCATTTTTTCATTTCTTATAAATTTTGATCTAAATGAAATTCTTAATATACAGATCTAAATATTTATTAATGAATTTAGCAATTCAAAGTCCCATACTGTGATTAATAAGTTTAAAATTTAAATTAGATTTAGACCCGTGAAGGTTACTTCCATTTATTTCTTAATTACATTCTAATCCAGAAAATTGGAGAGTGCCATTGTTCAATTAAAGTAAAAATTCCAACCAAAATATAAGTAGGACTAAATTGATTGTTCCTCTATACAAAATTTATAAATTCTCAGTCCTCAATTTGTCTTCTTCTTCTACCTGGCAATTTTTCCCAGCTATAGCCAGGGTCTGCCTAACATGTTGTGAATGGTTTTGGCTATTTGTTTTTACGACCGGCCGCCTGCCTGACATCAACCCTCTTTTTTGGGAATCAACATTAATCAGTGATGTCTAAATATTCTTAGAAAGTACATATGATTCGGAAAAATCACATTGGTACTTGCCCGGGCCAGGACCGAACCCGCGCCCTCGGCAACCAGAGGCGGGCCCTTTAACCACTGAGCCACCACTGACTCTCAGTCCTCAATTTGTATAGAATTTATATTTTTATCATGTACTTTATCGCTTATAATTATTTTCAAAACCAACTCCAAAAAATTCTCATTTTAATGTTATATATTTTCAAGTACTCTTCAAAACCACGCAGTTGCTAACAAGATGCGAAACATTTTCACCATTTATACATCGAAATATATTTAATGCTTTCCTTTTGAGGTTTACTGTAGAAACGTTAAATTTATTTCAGCAAAAAATACTTTATATACAAAGAATTGCGTTGAGTTTTTGGTCCCCGATGTTAATTTCACCTTATAAAAACGTGATATACATATAAAGATGGTAATTTTTGTGTCTTTTTGATATTAAAATCAATGAAATAAACAGTCATATATTTAGTTTTTAAATATTTATGTGATTCATAATTTATATAGAGTAATTTAAATATTGCAAAACATCATGACGCTAAGAGTACCGCTTTATCATTCTTTATTACTTTGCGATCTGAAAGAAAACTAACCAAATTTAACCGAACTCAAAAATTACTATTGACTTCTTTTTTTTTCTTAACATCTTTCGTTCATTTGTATGATCTTGTCAAATAGAATGTTTAAAAAATATAATATTAAATAATGGGAAATTACATGTTCTTGTATTATGTAGGGACAGATTGTGACATGACAGTGCAACGTGGCATAAACGTCAAGTAAAGTACATAATATATTGTTGCGTTATATAACGTATCTGCATAATTTGTATCTAATCATTCAGCGAGAAAATCTCATAATTAGCATAAATATGCTTCGAAATAATCTCAACAGGGGCTGTTGTGAAATTAAATTGTGAAGAAATAACAACAACAAATAGAAGTTATATATTATTATATTACTACATGTGTATATATACATAGTTTACTAGCAATCCGCCCGCAGCTTCGCCCGCCTTTTCTTTTTTTAAGAAAACTTTTCAAAAGTCTGGGATAAAAACTATCCTACATCTTTCTCAAGGTCAACTCTATCTCTGTACCAAATTTTATTAAAATCAGTTCAATGGTTTACGCGAGAAAGCGTAACAGACAGACAGAGTTACTTTCGCATTTATAATATTAGAAGGGATTATAATTATGTTTGTTTTGTTACAGAGCCCGGATGAGTACACCGTAGACTATACTGGCAGATACGCCGAACTCGCCTCCCCCGTACCATCTCATGTCGACATAGACGAACTTGTCGCAAGTCTGCGAGCAGCAAGCAGCCATAACTAGTTCATATTTATCATTAAGATTATCCCACTTATATTTAAGTACAATGTAATTTTTATACCTATTATAATAAAGTGAAGCGTGCTATTGTCTGAAATTTGACTTTTTTATGTAGCTAACGAAAGAAGATAGAAGTTGTAAACAAAATATTCTTATAGCTAGCTTAAAACTATTATAAAAATATTGTAGATTGAAAAGTATGAAGTTGTTGACAATACTTATTGCTCAAACCTTTTGGTTCTTGAAACACTAGTAAGATTGACAAGAAGACGTATTTATGGTTTCCAACGCTGCCTATTCGAGAGTGATTAGACAAAATTCCGCCTCTCTCTTAATAGTACCAACTTAGATGGTTTGACCAAAGTAAACATATTTGTCAACAACTACGAGAACAGAAGTTCAGTTGCCAATTGAAACAGGCTTAATGAATGTATGTACAGGCCGATGAATATTAGTTGAGTCCGTGTTTATTTTCCACTCGAGTCATTCAGAAACTAAGAAGATATGCTTAAACATACACCCATATCATTTAAAGTTTCGACAATCATTAGAATATCAATATTTAATGAGTTACTGGCACTGAGCCGATTATTTTTAATTACTAGATTAAAAAAAAATTACATGATTAATAAAAAAAAACATTAATAACCAAACATCATACTTTTAATCGTAAACAATTATTACTGACATTCGATTACTTTAAAGAAAAATTAATTAAAACTGTATCTACTGTGATTTTGATATGATATTTTATTCCGAATTTATAATACCAACATAAAAATAGTGAAACTTCACAATATATTGCTGCATTCTCTTCAAATACTGATGTGTTATGAATTAAATTGGGCCATATATAATAAGACTAATCAAAGTGCCCGCGTCGCATTGGGAAAAGCCTCTCATAATTTAGATTAATATCGGAAGGATGAGGTTTTTGGCGGTCCCTGCGAGCTTGTCGACCCAAAGGTATATAATCATACGGCACCTGAAATAATAATCTTTATTAAACAAGAACAATAATAATAACTTTCTTATATATAATAATAGAAACTTCAAAGTCGATTTAAAAATATTACACGCAGTTATAACTCCTAGATCTATCTGCTGGGCAAAGGCCTCTTTGTCACATGGAGAAGGTTTGAGCATTAATCACCACGCTTGCTCAAGACGGGTTGGTGATTTCAAACTTATAATTGTGAAACTATAAGTCCAGGTTGCTTCACGATGTTTTCCTTCACCATATGTCAGTGGTGTCTAAATACTCGCAGAAAGTACATATGACTCCGAAAAATCACATTGGTACTTGCGAGGGTTGAACCCGCGCCCTCGGCAACGAGAGGCGGGCCCTTTAACCTCTAGGCCACCACTGACTATCTGCAGTAGAACATGTTAAATGAAACATTGTATCCAAAATTTATAAGTTTTGTATGAAATATTTAATAAATTCTGTAATAAAAAATTTCAAATAACAAATCCCTAAATAATACAATGCGATTGTTATTTATTGAAAAGACGATTGTATGGATTCAGTTCAGTAAATATGAATGAAAATATCACAAAACACTTCTTGGTATAAGGAGATTGCAATCCGATTTCAGGAAACATCAAAGGCGAAATACGAGGATATATTTTATATGTACTGCTTATTTGAATATAAATAGAATACTTTATTAAACTTTAAATAAAAATAACCGTTATATTTAATATATTAATTCCAAAACTAACCTGCGTAAATACCTCCACTACTAAAATTGTGCACAGAATTAAAAATACCAATAAATTCATTTTAGTATTATAAACTGAATTGTTTCTTGATTTCTTTCAGTTTACGCCTAAGATTTCAATTAATTTCTAGAGGTAGGTAAATGCATGATACTGTTTAGGTTATTGAAATTAGATTTTCATGTTCAATTAATATATCAATATTTTCTACTTTATTATGTTAAATAAAAAACAGGTCTGAATATAAGTAAGTCTAAAAAGTAACCGATATAATAAAATCATGTATTGCATTTACATTTTTATACCAATAAAAATATTGGCTGCAATATGTAATGTATTTATGAGATGTAAAAAATAAAATAAAAGCATTTTATCAAATGTTTATTATATTTCTCAATAATGTAAGTATTGCTACTTTTGCTACAAACGACTTATAATTTCAAATGTGCAATTTACCATATCGTATATAGATTATGGAATTATTGATAAAAATTATTCTATTTCTTTTAAGTTATGCACGAAATGTAAGTATTAAGATATTTGATGGTATAAAAGAATCTACATGTATGTCGTTTAGTCGCAATTCTTAATTTTTACATCATATATTGTAGACAGAAGAAATTAACCATACAAAAGTAAATAATGATGATACATTAAATGAAACTCAAGTTACATATAATAAAACAGAGAAATCTAACACTATTGACGTGCACAACGATGTGATTGAAGAAATAGATGAAACTAATATCACTGATATAACTCAAGAGCAGAACGCTATAAAGAGTTTTTATGACGTTCTCATACTGCCGTTAGAAAAAATTCTATCATCACCAAAGATAAATACAGTCCTACATAATATAGGGACTTGTATAGTGAATGGGGTCATGGAAATTGTGGCACACTATTTCCCAGCTCCATTAATTCCATTGATAGCTACTGCAGCCGGAATGGTGATACCATTTGAACCAATCGTGATGCTGCGACGAAGAATGCCAGTAACTAGCTACAGACGAGCATTCAAGACCGCGGTAAATGGATTTCTGAACACATTCGATACTTACAAAGTAGATAATTACGATGAAGACCCATATATGACTAGAAGATTTAATAGAAGATTCATGAATGATATCTCAAAGGAAATTAAAAAAGATGACACTTGATTTATTTATTAATAAAGTTATTAGTTCGTATATTTTTTTCATTCTAATTTTATAAGTAATAAGACTTCTTTCGCTACAACAAAGTTTATACGAATTCTTTGATTGCTTCGTAATTGCTAACATGGGTGGTCATTCTCACGACTCCAAAGAAAGGACAGTAGAATGTAGTTCTTACGGCAACGGCACCATCTCTTAATTGAGGTTTTGGTGGCACATATTTCTTTTCTATTCTCTTCTTCCGTCTTGGTTTATCTTTAACTATACTCGTTGTTTTATTACCGACGTTTGCTTTTAAATCAGTTTTTCTCAAACTCTTAACTTCAGGAATTTCCATGTTATGCCAAGAGTGTCGAAATCCATTTTTATCCAAAAATATTTTCTGAGATCCAATATTATTGCTTCTTTTTAGTATAAAATCCTTAAAATGATCCCGAACCTTGTGTATCGTAGGCTTTAATACATTGTATTTCTCATTTTTGAAAATAATTTCAGAAATTTTCTGGAAATCTACGTGGTTTTCAAACTGGGCTTGAGTTGAATATATCTGAAAAATGTTTGTGTATTGAGAGAAGTTCGCATTAAGGCATTGAAAAAACAGATCAAGACTACATTCCACATATTCTTAGATACTAAGAACTGAAAATACTATTAATTAAAAGAGACAAATTAATAACTCACTTGCCACAACTGTAGCATATCATACATACGAAATTTAAAGATTTAGGGAAAGTAAGATCATGTTACGATTTCAATAAAACAACATATTATACCTACTCAGTTTTTTTGTAAGCAATACTAACTGCTTTTTTATTTGTTGAATTTTTAAAAAGATATGGTAATTGGGAGGATTGTAACTATCAAGATAGAGACGGACAGTGTCGAATTTAATTATAAGTTAGCCCACGCATACCAATCCCTTTCCGTAGCTAACAGTCTGTTAAAAGGTAATTACAATTTGTCCGAGGGCTAAGTACCGTGAATATCTATATTAGAGGTAATTAAGAGTTTAGTATTTTCAAATACTGACAACTAGATACAGATAATTAAGTTTATGGTCCCAGTTGTATATGGGGTACGGATGTGTGATGACAATTTGTTAATGTCATTGTCAATGTCACCCGGTTGACAGTTTACTTTTCTTATTGGCTAGTCAGTAAGAAAAAAATTAGTATTCCCATGAAATCTATATAAGCTCAATAATAATATGGTTACACTACACCTAAGTATATGACAACTGGGTTACCGAGTCCAAAACATACTTTATGTTAAACGACTAATTTTACAGTCATCAAATTTATCTTTAATTTTTTAAGCTTCTAGTTCGACGATTAAGCAGAGTTTTTATATAAAAAAAAAATACATTAAATAATTTCCGACTATCTCAATTTATTACATCAAAATCAATTTTGTCTTCGTTCAACTATTTTTCTAGTCTTATAAATTTCACAAGAAATATTTATATCAAACTTATTTTAAATATAAATGACATTTTTTATAATAAAAACATTATGAAATATTACTCAAGATATATTAAAAACATATTTCTAGACTTACATACGTAAATGTTAGGTAAATAAAAGTTATCGTGTGTATCCAATCGCTAAGAAATTCAGTTACGCTGCGTTTAAACATGATTGTCATATGAGTCAAGAACAGTTTCTTAATTAAAAAAACAATAATATATTTTATGGTTAACGTAGATTGCATTTTTACGCTGCAAGATTAATAATAATTCGTTGCTTACTTCAATATTTTCTAATGTCAGAAGAAATAAATATATTCTCAATTAATTATATACAATGTATGGAAACTTTATAAAAAAGTATAGGCTTAAAGATTATTATTTTATAATACTATATTGAAGATAATTATGGCACAAAACTGAAATATTTTCAATGTAAAAAACCGTGTGTTCAATTTAAAATGTCAGCAAAAAACTAAAGATTTTCACTTGAAGTATTGTTTTATATAAAATCTGGATATAGTTTCTGATTCTTGTGTGCAAATATATATTTCTTATATACTCTCCATTAAGCCTACAATTACCGGGTTAAGTGTGGATGAAGCCATAGCATGAAGGAATAATAAATAGGCATACATATGTTTAAGATGTACGTCAATGCGACATTCTTAATTTTTGTTATATAAAAATCAAATATTTAATTAAATAAAATGGTGTTGGTTTCCATCTTATATTTTTGCCATTTTAAAAATATTCCTAGCATACACCGTCAGGGTACACTTCAAATAATGTATCAACTGTCACTAAAAATAATTTTGGCATATGGAAACATTTCTAAGATGTATGTTTTAGATATAATATTGACATTATATAATATTGTGATACAAAATGTTGACATTATCAAAATATTCAATGATTCTAGAGAATGAAGCATAGCTTAAATAAATAAAAAAGTGTAATAAGAACTAAAGAATATATTATTTAATTCGATATTACAATTTTAAGGAAAATTGCCGATATTTTTATTTTGTTAATCTGTATTTCTTATAATTTGAATAATTTGTAATGTTCTTCAGTTTTAAAATAAAAATATATTTATATATTTATACAGCAGTTCATTTGGGTTGAATTACATATTGATGAGAAAATATCGGGATAAAATGAAAGTCAATCATCGATTTACTTAAATATATTTTGAAACATATCTTTAAAGCGTAAAACAAGTCTAGCCTCCCAATTATTATTTAAGCCAAAGGAAATAAAGTGTCTCCGCTATAGAATGACATAATTACATGATCCACCATTGTTGCCATATACAGAAAAAGTTAATAACCATTGTTGCTATATGATAAAATATTATAATAAATTACAATTTATATATTATTTACTTGAAAGTGTATATGTGATAAAATATAACATATTGAAATTGTCTGTTATGCATAGTATATATGTAATATAATTTATATTATAATTATTATATTCTGTAATTTTTGAGTCAAACAAAGCGTCAATGTTGAATAAGTTTTGGAAGTTCTAAAGTGTTACTATTTTGTTATTTAGATAGATTAGAACAGCACTTTAGGATATTTTTTTAAATATTATTAATTTAATATAATTTAATGATCGAAAAATTCTAAATTTTTTTTAAAAATTTCATAACCGTTAATATCTTATGAATAAGAACAGAAAATATATATCAATGTGTTAGGTCAGAATTTTTTAATCTATTTGGAAAACTTCATTCTCACAGTCCTTTCACGTCTACAGTGCACTTACCTTAAATCCCCTTACGATTGTCGGGCTTCATTTTGTTTCAAAATTAGCAACGACAATCATATATCTGGTGGATATGTATCTATTACTAAATTATTGTTATATTTATTACAAATTATAAAGCAAAATTAAGACTAGCCGTATTAAAATCTAACCATCAGTCAAACATTCACGCAATATTTAACAAATACATTAGAAAAATATCATGAAAAGATCAAATACAAAGACCTAAGCTCAGTAAATTACCAGTTCTATATACAATTTATTAAATTTAGTATTGCGTATCATAAGTCATTGTCGAGATTAATCGGCATAGAAAAAATATATTTATGACATATAATAAGTATGTAATAATATGAAATAATTATGAAATTACAGATCATATATATATTTACATTACAGAAATACTGAAAGCACTGGAAATTATTATATAGCGAATAAATATATAGCTCGATATTAAACTATAATACTATAAGTTTATAATCGACGTGAAAATAAAAAATATTTACAAAAGATTCGATTTGTCAAAAAAATTTTCCTAATTTTTTTTATATAGAATATAAAACTACCCGCGTTTTTTATATTTTATGTTGGGTTTTTGACCCGAATTCGTGGAGTATGTCGCAGGCCATTTCAAGATCATTTCTCGTGATGCCAAGAGCTCTAACGACTATATCCTTTGGGTATCCTTCACCGACCAAACGAGCAATGTAGTCCAAATTAATGTTCTCATATGAAACATTATCCAGATATTTCCTTCCGTGCTTGTCGTGGGTTAATGGATTAATTTTTTTCGCTGTAAAAAATGAAATTTATTATTTTTTTGCCACATAATTATATATTATATTGACTGTGATATAAATGTATAAATAGAAAATGAATAGAAATTGATTTTTACTACGAAAAAAGTAAATTTCCCTAAGCATAGTTTTTAATAGTAACTTATACGTATTTTTTCTTTAAGGTATTCGATATATTTTAAGTTATAATCTTAATTGTCTATTAATTATTTGACTCACGTGCAACAGCTAATTCGTTTTCCACGGCGACATTTTCATACGGCGGATCCTTTACATCTTCAGATGGAAATTTTGGCATCGTTGTAGATTTTGTTGGCTGGTCTATGCTACCGCTCGTTGTAGACGGTAAAGACCTTTGTCTTGGTGGTGCTTTATCCAATCTTGTTTCTCTATCGAAACTAAATATAATAAAATAAATAAATAAAAAATTCTTTATTTTCTTTAACAAATCTGTACTTAAATATAAAGTTATTGGAGTCTTAAGCATATGAAAAGCCTGTGCCAGGAAACTCCGCTTTACCATATCACGAATTAATACAAGTATACAAGATATTTAAGGTATTATACAACAATAATAAATAAACAATATAAGAGAAGTAATTACCTTGATCTATCAGAATTCTGCATATTCTGTCTTTCAGGCCTATCAGGTCTTTCTGGTGGATTTCTGAAGTCTATATGCCTATCATGGACATATCTATCCGGATATCGATCCATTAATCTGTTTTCGGAGTTGGATCGTTCGTTCCTATCCACTATTTCGTGTTTTTCTTTGTCCAGTCTATCGTGAACTCTGTCTGTTTGTCTGTCAGGTGGTGGCGCGGGTAGAGGGCGACTGTTTGATTGTGGTGTACAAGCTCTTCTTGGTTTTTCAAATGCTCTAGGATCTGGTGGTACCTGGAAATTAAAACGGAATTTTCCTAATGATAAGAATATGTTTACAACAAAAGTAATCGCAGTTAAATAAATACATTAAATAAAGAAATTCTAACAGCTTAGTGAAATTTATCAGTGTATAAGATTTTGTTATAATTTTCATATATTTCTTACTTGTACATGGGCCTTATTACTATTTTTTTTTTCATGTAAACCATAATTAAAACAGTACAGTATGTAACTACATATTATAGTAACATCTCTAAATATTATATTTACTGCAATTAGATATTTAATATAAACCAACTCACAAAAGAAGGAATATTATTAATTTAATGTCGCTATTTATGTCGCTATTTATGTATGTATGTATGTCCATCTTAGGCTTAATAGCTCTCAAACATAATAATCTCTTATAAAACACATATTTCTTAGCTATTATTATTAGTTCATATCAATCCAGAAGTGTAAGACAATCAAATATTTTCAAAAATTATGTAAGCATATTTTACGTTATTACTTTATTAACTACAACTGCTAGTATTATCGTTATATGACCATAAATCTCTCAAGTATGTCATAAAACATGAACTGGTTTCATAATATTACCTCGTGTCTCGTATCTATAAGACCGGTGATAGTTTCTGTGGACCCAGTAATGACGGACGTCAGACGGTGCCGGGAATCTGGTTCAGGTTCGAGCGATGAACGACGGCGTGGTTCTATATAACCAATTTATATTGAGCTTTGGAATAGAACTAATATTATGTAGTAGGTCTTTATAATGATTATATAGCGTATAGGACGTTTCGGTGAGTTGGCAACCGTGATCACCGAACAATCACTTGTAACCGAACATAAAGAAGTCAAGTCAAGTGAATGTCAAGTTTTATTTCAAAGAATACTCGTCAAGATGTTAGATCTCCTTATATTGAACGTATAGTATGTTTAACAATGAAAACAATTCCTTACGAATTCTTTTTTATGGTCTATAAATATCTTTGTGTTGAAATATAAACATATCTATTTTCTGTTTGGCAATTATTCAATTTCTAGCGTTATAGGCTGTTATTGACTTTGATTATATGTTAAAAGTAATATTAAGCAGTTTTAGGATTTTCTTTCAATTAAATACGTTTACTCACCCATAATACTAGCCGAAGCTATATCCTGAACACTCGAAGCGGCAATACTTTCCGCGGGCGAAAGGCTTTTGCGTGGTGGTAAAGGGGGGGCCAATTCTCCATAGGCGTTTTCCGCACTTGGGGCCTTTCTAGGGGCCCGCGGTGAGTGTCGAGGCGAGGCCCCCGCTGACCGGGCCCCCGGTCGAAGAGCATCGATTGTTGATGTAGCAGCGTTGAATTCCGCCCAATCCTGTTTGTTTTGGGGCCTTGTAGTTTAGTTTTCATAGCTATGTGTTGCTTTTATTGTAATCTCGATTTCTAGGTTCTAAGATTTTTCGCTAATTTAATGAGTTTTCTAAACATGTTCGTTAATTATTCTGGAGATTCAACTATATGTTGAAACAAAGTTTATGGGTTTCATAGCTATGTATTTATTCCTATGTTGCTTTTATTGTAAATTCGATTTGTAGGTTGGATAGATTTTGAGATTTTGCGCTAATTTAATGAGTTTGCTAATCATGTTTGTTAATTATTCTTGAGTATCAACTCTATGTTGACACAAATTGTTTCTGTAGGTTTATGTACTTAATGCTTTTAAGTATAAAATGGTCCGAGGCATAACGTTTCCTTAAAACAAAATTGCTTAGCGATAAATTCAGTCGTTCATTTATATCGATCGATATTTGATTTTAAGACAAGTGTTTATATCTTTATCTCTTAATTTTGTAGAACTTAGATCGTTAGTACTAACTTTATCTTAATAAAAAGAGATAAATTTGGATTGCTTTAATATTTTACTTATTTATTGAGGAATATAAATTTATTCAGGAATTCATATGATTCAACACAAAACTCAATAAGTCTAACGAGTAGATTCAAAATATTTTAAGGATTATTTAACAAATACCTTGTTGTATTTTGAAGTTAAAATCGTATTTTACAGATACTTATAGATTTATTTTACTATTTGTTTGTTAATAGAATAACTTTGTTCATATTACATCGTATATCAACAATTTATATAAAAATTAAAAATGTTTAAATGTGTCAAAGAGATAAATTTAAAAAAAACTAAAATTATATATGAAACCAAAAGTGAAAAAAGTTCCAAAAGTAAACATCAAATTATGCCATGCACAATACCCAAAAATGGTTTAATGAAATCAAAACCAATACTATGACTAAATAACAGAAACCAGTACATTACAAAAAAATATTGGTTTTTCGATAATGATGAATGACAAAACGTGCAAAAACCCAAAAATTTTAACCAAAGCAAGGAACACGATGCAAAAGAAAACACAAAAAGCGAATTCATTCAAGCATATATTCAGCAATACACTTAGTAATAAATAATATATAAAAAACAAAAAAAAATCCATATAACATAGAAAATGTGATGCTACGTCTAAAAAAAATCGATAAAAAAAAGTCCACAAGTTTACAAACAACGCAGCACAAAATATCGAAACTAACAAAAAAAATCTAATAATTTAAATTATAATATAAAACTTAATTAACAATTATATGATCACAAATTCATTTAAATTCACTGGCAAATAAAATCAAATAAAGCATTTTGTAATAAAAAAATATACAGAAAAAAAACATTTTTTGGACAAAAAACACATTGGCAAAAAAAATTAAGTCAAATGTATTAAAAAGTCGTTTCAATAATAATATAGTCCTATTATATATGTAGTCTTAATTTCAGTTTTGACTTTTAAATAATAATAACCTATATTTCATTAAAAATTATAATTTATACTTGGTTTAATATATAATATATGTAAAAAAGTAGATGTTTGTGACAACAAATTATGAAAAAAAAGTTTTTTTTTCTTACATATTTCATATAGATATATAATATATATGTTATATATTAAACCAACATATGTATATATCAAAGCGTGTAATGTCGCCGTACAAGCTAAGCATGCTGTTTTCTCGAACCCTGAAATAAATATCCTTTTGATAATTCAATTGCATTTTATTATTAATTTCATATATATACATTTTAATCTTTCAAGATCTGAGCAAAATATTTTAGTTTTATGCTCAGTTTGATAACAAATATTTTTCATATAGAAAATATATATACTTTTTGTATCTAAACCCAATATCTATATAAGAAAAAGTAAAAAAGTAAAAATTATTCTCACTTTTAACAAATATTTAATTATTTAAAATAATATCACTTAAATTTCAATAAGAATAAAATGCAATCAATTTTTATTATGATAATGATATAAATGTTTACGAAACGAGACAACAAACACATGCATTCAAAAAAATGCATACACAAACATGCATACTAAACATTCCAGATGAATTAACAAACAAACAAAACATACAAAAAAAATAAGCTTAAAAGATGATATCTTATAAAAGATAAAAGACAACTGATAATAAGAATAAAAAAATTCAAAAATATGTATTTATCAAATACTTCTAATTACTAGGAATCAAATGTAATCAACCAAACATGTTATATCCTAAGATTTTTTTTAAATTTCATATAAATAAATTTTCATTTAAAAATTGCCTATATTGAAGAATTGTGGAGAGTTAATCAATTAATGATAAGATTATTTAGAAATTTTAAATAATACTCATACTATTATGAATCTAATAGTTTTATTGTTAACTATTGATAATAATTAGTGATATTAAGTATATATTTTATGAATATATTTTCTTAATATTTATCTATTTACTTTGACAAAAACCATATAACATATCCCTACTATTAATTAAAAATGCGAAAGTAACAACTGAATTGATTTTAATGAAATTTGGTACAGAGATAGAGTTGACCTCGAGAAAGAACATAGGACAGTTTTTATCCCAGACTTTTGAAAGGTTCTCTTGTAAACGCGATATAACCGAACTCCACGCGGGCGAAGCTGCGGGCGGAAAGCTAGTATATCTATATATGTAGTTTTTCGTATTGTATTTCTGTCTATAATATAATTACCTCTGAATCATCAATGTCATCTGTCAGACCGTTGAATGTATTCCTCGACCAACCATTGGAATGACTTGATGATGTCACTTCTGAACCTGGAATAATCATCATATATATAAGAAAGTAGTGTTAGTTACACTATTTATAACTCAAGAACACCTGTAGAGATATGGTTGAAAATTGATGGAAAGATAGCTTAGAATAAGGAGATATATATAGGATACTTTTCAACTTGTTTCACAAAAACAAATGAGTATATAAAATCCAAAATCTTTTTATTTACTGATTCTAAACCAAAACGGTTTGTCTGGTCAGCTATATATTTATAATTCTGAAACTAACACAGACAAAGCCACGGCAAAAGCTAGTAATCTCTAGGTTGTTAAGACAATCATCAGTGATACACAATACAACTTTTATGTAATTTTCCCAATTGCATTGTATTAATAAGGTAAATTACATTAATGTTACCTAAGAATCTATTAAGCAGTTTTCTCATATGAAAAAATAAATACATACATACATAATAAATAATATTAAATATAACAAGCATATTATAATTATAAATATACTAGTAATGTCATATATACAGCCTTGGCGGCTTGGCCAAATGTATTAGGCACCCCTTAAAAATGCATATTTAATGTTTACTTATCTAATAATAAATAAATTCGTTTCTTGGATAATATTTCGGGATCATAACCATTACCTGGAAAGGTGAGGGGCTTGTTCATAAGGTCATAAAACACCTGGTAACCGAAAACAAAGGATTTGTGTTTTCTTGCCGTCTTATCGGTCATTATTTGGTCAGTAGCATTTTACCATCTAAAGAGGTTAACCACCCTTCGTTTATGTTTAAGTAACTACATTAACATCTAATTCTTTAAAAAATGCCGAAAAGGAGTGAAATTAGCTGTGAAAATCGAGTAAAAATACAACTTTTATTTGAAGAAGGGAAGTTGCAAAAAGAAATAGCCAAGTTGGTGAAATGTTCGTGATGCGCTGTACAATCTGCCATCAAACGGTTTGATCGGACTTGCTACTATAATAAACCAAAAACAGGCAGGAAATGTGTCACTACGAAGCGCGAGGATAGAAAATTGATACGCGAATCGACGAAAAATCGGAAGAAAACTTCTTCAATGCTGGCTGCTGGCTTGTCTGAAGAGGTTGGAAAGCCAATAAGCGCTCGTACAGTTAGACGAAGACTTGGTGAAGCCGGCCTAAAGAGATGCAAAGCTAGGAAGAAGCCCTGGCTTTCAGAGACAAACAAAAGAAAACGTCTTGAGTGTGCTCTACGGTACTAACATTGTACCGAGGAAGATTGGTCCAATGTGTTGTGGTCTGACGATTCAAACTTTGAGGTAAGTTAAAATTACTCTTTTAATTACATATGAATAATAGTGAGGACTGACTTACGTCTCTTAAATCTTGAAGGTTATGATCATTTAAAAAACCTTATTTTTTCTTTCTTCAATAGGTATTTGAAACACCAGGTGTGACATTAGGGAGGCGAAGTGTAGGTGAGGAATACCATCCAGATTGCGTCGTACCAACAGTGAAGCACGGCGGAGAAAGTATAATGATCATGGGGTGCATGGCTACCGACGGAGTTGGTGAAATGTTTGTTTGCGAAGGTCGCATGAACAGTGAAAAGCACATAGAAGTACTTGAGACTGCGCTTGCGCCTTCGCTAGACCTAGAAGGAGTCATATTCCAACAAGACAATGCACCTTGTCATATCAGCGAATACAATGTGCTGGTTTACTGACAACAACATTGTTTTGTTGGATTGGCCTGCACAGTCCCCAGATCTTAACTCAATCGAGCATCTTTGGGGTCTATTGAAGCGGAGACTCAAAGAGCACAGCATTACATCGAAAACGGCATTAAATATGCGTTGGTGCAAGAATTGCATACCATTACAAGGCATGACTGCACTAAACTTGTTCGGAGCATGCCTCATAGAATTGCAGCAGTGATTAAGTCTAAAGGTGGACCAACTAGATTTTAAGTTTTTTTTGTTTATTTTTATTAATAAATGTTATTAGTATTAATAAATCGCTTTGAAAAGTAAAATTTGTTTTGATCTATAATTGTAAGGTTTTTTTGGGTTGCCTAATACTTTTGGCCAAGGCTGAAAGTACATATATCAGAGGTCAAGATAAATTGGTTTTAATTTTTTTGTATCTAAATTAGTTTAATACCATTACATCCGGATGAGCCAGAAGAACCCGATGAATTAGATGAAACAGCCTTCACAGCTGTCTTAGTGTTTGGTATTCTGAAATAAACATTAATTAAAAATTATTACACATACAACATCAGAGACAAGATAAAAAATGTAAACAAGATATATGAATGTATAATTTAGACATTTTTGTTTCGTTGTAAAATATCTTGATAATTATGGAATTTTATATTATAAATAAAAATTACAAAGAAATTGAGTCTGTTAGGTTTATAATTAGATACATATTTACAATATTTTGTTTATATATTGTAGGAATATGAGAGTAAGAATATTGAGTGTAAGAAAAGGGTGAACCACATATAAGCAGTTGTCAAGAAATCAGGACTCTTTTCGTTCGTTTCGTCAATTGGTGTGATAGATTAATAAATATTTGTGTACATTTGATAAATCAATAGTTAAATTGTATAGAATATTATCTGTACGAAAGTCAATTCTGATCTTATTTATAAGTGTCTTTTTCCTGGCAAATTCTCAGCTTCAGCCAGGGTCTGAATTACATGTTGTGAATAGTTTTGGCTAATTGTTTTTCCGAACGGCCGCCTACCTGACAGCAACCGTCTTTGGGAATGCATTAAACACCACGCTTGCTCAAGACGGGTTGGTGATTTCAAACTTATAATTGTGTAATTATAAGTCCAGGTATTCTCACGATGTTTTCCTTCATCAGTCAGTCATGTCTAAATACTTTTATAAAGTACATATTACTCGGAAAATTCACATTGGTACTTGCCAGGATCGAACCCGCGCTCTCATGTATGTCAGTGGTGGCCTTTAACTGCTAGGCCACCACTGACTTAATCTTGTTTCACGGGCACACACATGCACGGGCGACGGTACAATAGTGTTGCATTTATATCATAGTAAATAATATGGAAATTATTGAAATTGACAATGAAGAGTTAATATCGTTTATTTTAAACGATTTGTGAAAAATTTAGATGCCAGAATGCTTCTAATTTTCTGTAAAACATAATCGAATGTCTCTATACTCATTCTTGTGTATTTGTGGCACTTTCATGAATGAGAACGTAGCTCGTAACAAAGTGTAGAAAAATCTCCCAAACTGCGTCGTCGTTGATTTATTGGATGAATACATCTCTAGGTAATAAAAATTCTTTCGACGTGAATTCATGTTTATCACAACACTACGTGAGCGCGTGTGCGCAGATGTTAGTTTCGTACACACGCAAGACACCGCTATCTTTTCGCCCCGCCCCGCCGTCGCTCCGGACATCGCAAGTTTCGTACCCGCAGACTAAGTATCCTACTAATATTATAATTGCGAAAGTTTGTGAGTGTGTGTATGTTTGTTACTTCTTCACGCTGAAACGGCTGATCCGATTTTGATAAAATTTTATATACAGGAAGCTGACGTCCAGGAATAAGACATAGGCTACTTTACATCCCAGAAATCCCGAAATCCGCGGGGCGCAGCTAGTATATTTATATTTCGCATGTAAGTATAAAGTATGTACTAACTTTGATTCATTCGGTGGTCGTGGTGGTATAAACGCATCTACCACAACTTGTTCTGTACCTTTGATTTCAGCTCTACAGAAAGGACAACCCTGACCTTCAGAATCCTGAAAAAACATAGTATTAATATAATAAAATAATCAATAATATAAGTAGAGAGAATATTAATAACTTCATTTATCAAATGTTAGATATAAACATAGAAAACAACAGTATAAATAAGGAAAACAATGAATTTAGTGGACTTTAACAAAACTTATAATACTACTTGTTTGAAAAATGTCCTTATCAGTAGAACAATCACTTAGCAAGGGAATGTGGGAGAGAGACAGCAATAGTAATCATCTATATGTGAGACAGGGATAGCGATAGTAATAATTAATTCTACACTAATGTATTATATTATTCTACACTATCTGTGATAGAGATAGCAATAGCAGCATAATTTCTTACTAAGAATGTGTGATAGAGATAGCAATAGCAGCATAATTTATTACAGAGTGTGTGTTAGAGATAGCAATAGCAGCATCATTTCTTACTAAGTGTGTGTGATAGAGATAGCAATACTCACAATCTGCCAGGCCGTAAGGCATGGTGTACATAGCAAATGTCCGCATGGTTCTATTCTAATGTCCTTGTCGTTTTCCGCACATATCTTACATAGCTGAAATGTACTGCCTGAAATATAAAAAATAGGATATATAAAACTTGTTAAATCTATACTAATATTATAAAGCTGAAGAGTTTGTTTGTTTGTTTGTTTGAAAGCGCTAATCTCCGAAACTACTGGTTCGAATTGAATAATTCTTTTTTTGTTGGATAGTCCAGTTATCGAAGAAGGCTGTAGGCTATATAACATTATGCTACGACCAATAGGAGCAAAGATATAGTGGTAAATGAGTAAAAAACGGGAGAAATTATTTCATCTTTGAAGCCTTCCGTTGCGTACGCCGTGAAAACGGTTCAAGATACGTAAAAAATATGTGTTAAAGAATAATGGCTCTTTTAATGATCTAACAAACAGTCCTTGACAGTATATGTCTATCTTTTAAGATTAACTCACAAAAACCGTTTTTATGGTACCTAATTTGGTCGAAATAATTTGTTAAAGTTGTATCAACATAATAATATTAATCTTTTATCAAATAAACAAATAAATATGTTGTTGGTTAAGAGTACTTCGTTGTGAATAAAAAAAACATAGGTTCTATCCTGAAAATTCTACGGGAACTCGACCATTCGATTCGAACTATGTGGGAAGAACCAAAAATCTGCCGGAAGTCACTATTCCACGCAGACGGAGTCGCGGCAGAAGCTAGTTTAATATAAGACAAAGAAGTCTACATATGGAAAAATACTTCATACAATAGGCATAAATCACTCAATTACTTATATATACTAGCTGACCCGGCAAACGTTGTTTGCCATATAAAAAATAGGGGTTGGTAGTAAAAATGTAAAAAATTTGGGTTATATGTATTTTTTAATGCCACATAATCCCTACTAAAATTATAAATGGGAAAGTAACTCTGTCTGTCTGTCTGTTACGCTTTCATGCCTAAACCACTGAACTGATTTTAATGAAATTTGGTACAGAGATAGAGTTGACCTTGAGAAAGAACATAGGATAGTTTTTATCCCAGACTTTTGAAAGGTTCTCTTGGAAACGCGATATAACCGAACTCCACGCGGGCGAAGCTGCGGGCGGAAAGCTAATAAAAAATGAAAACAAAATATATCCACCAATAATTAAGAAAAAAAATAATAGTTGTGAACAGTGGCGGCTGTACCTTAAGTGCACTCGTGCGCTGAACCACCAATTCAAAATATTTAAAAATTACAAAATATTACTTCATCTTTATTTTTAAATTACCATTTTAATATTTATTTTTTAAACATACAAAAACGTATAAAAAATTAAATTTCCAATAATGGTCAAAAAGTTTGAGCGCTTTATTAAACTAATATCTCGTGCGCTTCGGCGAGTGCACGAGGACTGCTAATACATCTTGTATGAGAAACGAATTAATACGCCTGGCGCGTGAAACAAAAGATAGTTCATAGAAATGTACCGACTTAAATGAGTCGGTTCTCGAGCGCCGCACGAGCGGCCGAAGATTACCGAGAGCACCCGATGTATGACTAATTGGAATTTAAAAGAATCAAAACTTTTCTCCGAAATACTATGCACTTGCTAAATGCACTTTCTTTGCTAAGTATTGAAAAAAAATATATACAAACAATACCCGATTTTAATAAAAAGGTTATTGAAGATTTCGCTTTAGAAAAATGTCGTCGCATTGATTTAATGTATAAAAGTAAACATATTTTATGTCAATTGTTGTTCTGTTGTATTTTCTAATTTTAATATTTTAATAAAGTGCACCACCAGTTCGATAACCCACCAGCCGCCACTGGTTGTGAACAACCCTTATCACTTAGGTGTATGAAAAATAGATGTAGCCGATTCCCAGACTTACTGAATACGAATATAAAATTTGGTAAAAATCGGTAAAGCCGTTTCAGAAGAGTACAGTAACACTAACATTGTGACAGGGAAAATTTTATATATTAGATTATGGACAATTATTCTTATATATAATTCAATTATGAAATTTAAAAGCACTAAATACTATATGATATTTTAAAATGTACTTTACCCATTTCACAATAGAGTTCATATTGTTCCTGTGTCACAGTTATGTGATCTTCAGCTGGGGATATTATAGCACTACTAAGATCTGGATTAGCATCACGTCCGTCCGGATATAAATAACTGAAAATAATATTAATATTACCATTAAACAATATATTGATACATATAGGACCATATATATATATATTTGTTTTTATGTTAAAGGTGGCAAACGAGCAGACGGCCCACTTGATGGAAGTTAGTTACCGTCACCCATGGACATTCGCAATATCTTTGTTGCGAATGCGTTGCCAACCTTGTTTTTTTTAGGGATAGCTAGGGATGGGAATAAGGAAATGGTAGGCAAGGGTGGGAATAAGGAAAGGGCAACCGTCTCTCTCACTTATCGGACGAAATGCAGCTATTAAAGACTACTTCAAGCCGATCTTCTGTGAGAGGGTGGTACTTGCCCGGCCGAGCCAGCATATGTTCGAGCTGTAGTAAATTGACTACAGCTAGGCTCTACGACCTCAATATTGGATACCAATATTGGACCTAGACGGGCACCTATCAATTTATTCTCTGTTAAAAACTCAATAGATATGTTAATATAAAAAATAAGTGATTTTAAAGTAACTATAATGTTTCAATGTAAAGAAAATTATCTGCTTATCATTAATATGAAATGATTTAAGACTATGTGTGTGTGATATGAAAAGCATTGTAATGTATACTGGTTGTTTTTAAAATATTTCATTGAATCTCAATTTGGCAATGCTTATGCCATCTTAATCGACAGTTTTTTTTTATAAGAAGATAGTTAATTTCTTTAAAAATTATCTTTGAGCAATACATATGAATGTATGCATAGAATGAAATTATGAGATTATATTGAGTTCTCTATGTATGTATGTACATATATATGTATGTATGTATGTATGTATGTATGTATATATTTAACTTACAATCCTTCTCTATAACCATCAAGTAAAGCTTGAACCAGACTTTTGTTCTGTGGTATAGTCTGCAAGATTTCACCATCAACTGTCACATAACCTATGGCCCATTGACCCAATCTTGTACAGGATAATCTGAAAATATTTAATGAGCATTCATTATATGGATATATAATATATATTTCCTTTATCATGTTCTGTGTATACAATAAGAAAAAGTAAAAAAAAATAACCTCGATTTGTAGCTTATAGGTATGTCTATTTTTCTTAATTATTACACTTTTAAATCGAGCAACAAAATTTGCTAAAAACTGAAATTGCAATTACTGACATTCAGACACATAAATTCATGTAAGTTTGATGTGTTCTTTACTTAAATGTAAAAAAATCATATCGCTATGTATTTCTAATGCATAGATATATAAAAAACGCTTTTACTTCAAAGATTTTTAATAGCTATTAAAATTTTCATTCGAAGAAAGTTATTTTTTATATGACTTAAAATTAATTAAAGTCAGTAAGTGGCCTAGTGTTTAAAAGGCCCATTTGTCATGCATGAAGGGTTTGAAATCTGGCAAGTAACCAATGTGATTTTTCCGAGTCATATGTACTTTCTAAGGGTATTTAGACACATCTGACATACGGTGAAGGAAAACATCGTGAGCAAACCTGGACTTATATGTAGTTTCACAATTATAAGTTTGAAATCACCAACCCGTCATGAGCAAGCGTGTTGATTAATGTTAAACCTTCTCCATGTGAGAAGAGGCCTTTGCTCAGCAGTGGGCTCTGATAGGCCGATGATGATGAATTAAAGCAATTTTTTACCTAAAAACGTAGCTGCCGGCTTTGTGTATGTACTTCTGCAGTCTAGCTTTGACTTCGTCGTACGTTAGGAACGCGACATAACCGGGATGGGTGACCGCTAACAGCTGCCAGTTACGAAGTAGCGTGCTCCATGGCTGGAATAATCTGGAATCGTGGAAATTATATTGGAATTATGGAAATGACATTAGAATTATTTCTTACCAAAAGTATATATCTGTTATAGAACCAAATTGAATTGCTTGAAGTTAAATTGAAAATGAAACTGTGCTTTGTTTAACGAAAGAAAAAAAATTACGTAAAAGATAGTTTGTTAATTATAAAAGTAAAATGAGTTTCTTTAATAAAACTAAACTAAACAATGATATCAAAGCAACTAAAAAGTATATTTTTTATTAAAGGCAGAAAAATATAAAGAGAGATTTAAATTTTGTATGCAGACATTTCCCTTTTGTTGGAATCTAAATGCGTGCGCCGTTTTGATAAAAATATTTTCAATGGGACACAGCGCCCAAAAGACTCCGAAGTTTAATACCTGCCTGAGACTACAATACGCAGACGGTACGAAATATACACATTAAAAAAATAACCAAAAAGTGGCCAGAAATAATAGAGAAGTTTAAATAGCATCAAAGAGATAGTAAACATATTTTGGAATCGGCATTACATATAAAATCCAATACCTAAAAGTTCAATCAAATATTTTCCTACAAATAAAACTCAAACTAGTATTAGAAGTTAATAAAAAGTTTTCTCAATAACTTTTACAGCACTGAAAGTCTGAAGCTAGAGATGAATTCTTCGTTATATAGGAGTTCTTTCCTCTCAAAGTTTACGTAAGTCGATTTATTTTAAGCAATGTAATATAACAAAATATTCACAATACACCCTACAAATACTGTGATAGAAAACTTATATAAATAATCACTCTATTTTGAAGATTTTACGTAAAAAATTGGATTTTTAGCAGTATTATGATCAAGTTAACGCACTATCATCGATGAATCAATATGTATGAAGAAAATAGTGCCGCAAGATACTCGTTTTTGTCAGCCATATTTAATTCTAGCAGATTCTCCTATGAATTGTATCCTGTTTCTACTCTCCTGATTTTAAAACTAATGTACTGTGAAGCTATAAAACATAGTTGGAGGTTTATTATTGTTATTCCTTTTCATCTGAATTGATTGAGCAGTTTGTGATATAAGATGAAGATAAGAAATAACAAGTAAATAACAAAAAAAGTTATAAATTTTTGCAGGTATTTTTTGGACATAAATCTCCTTACCTCGTAAACACGTCAAATTCAAAGTTGGATATGAAATCGTTGCACGTGAGGTCTATGGTTGTTTTCAACGCCATCGTCTCGAGGCCTGATGATAATGGATGAACATTGTTTAACTCCTCACGAAAGAGCTTCCACGGTACAAGCGTACTGAAACCAAATATTCAATTATAACTAAAATGTACCAAAAATATTAACTAATTACTTTCATATTACGTAAAACAATGTCGTGGGTAGATACCAATTATAGCTTACAATTTTGTCACAATCAAATCTTATCTAACAAGGTAAATTCAAGGAAAAAAGTCAAATAAAATGTATAAAAATATATGTAACTAAAGACCTAAATAGGACGGAATAAAACAAAACAATAGAAATGGTAAACAGGGAGCTTTGTGCTTGAAAACTTTTGTCTGGCTCTGAAATATTAACTTTAGTCCATTGTTGCTGTATCTTAATGAGTTATAGAATATTTAATATAAATATTAAATATATATGCTATTCATTTATAGATTAATTCAAATCTTGACTTGAGACTAATTTAATACTTTCACCATATATTACATACATATCAAACATAATTCTCATACGATACCTATTAGAAAAATATCTATACTTAATATTAAAGTCCTTTATGTAAAAATAATTATATTCATATACAAATTCGCAGCGTCACACTTCGTACAATGTATTAGATTCTCATGATCTCAGCGTAGGTTGGTAAGTTAAGATAAAAAAGCAAATTCATTTAATTTACACCGAATAGAAAGTATTTACTCGTCAAGGTTTAACCTTAATTGGTTTTATATGACGGTGTAAGGTTTCGCTTACATTATCACAAGAATATGAAAGATCATTATATATTGTTTATATATTTGATCTATATACAGCTTATATATATTTATTTGAAAGTAATTATATATATTAGTCTATGTCATCAGCCTATCAGAGACCACTGCTGAGTAAAGGCCTCTTTCTTATATTGAGCAGGATTTCAAACTTATAATTGTGAAATTATAAGTCCACGTATCCTCACCATGTTTTCCTTCACCGTATGTCAGTGGTGTCTAAATACTCTAAGAAAGATCACTCGGAAAAATCACATTGGTACTTGCCAGTATATATCTATATCTTCTTATAAATATCTTTGTATTTAATAACTTGTTTCGTATACAATCCGACAAGATCGATTCTGAAACTTTGAAATCTAAACAGATTTAGACCGTTATTCAAATTGTTATGTTATATATTTATTTTCTACTGTTAGAAAATGTAAAAAGATCTTAGCTAATGAATTACGTTCATTTCAAAAATTAATTCTCTTGAAATTAAGATCTTAGATAATAAAAATTCAAGTAATCGAAACCTTCGTATCAACAATATATTGCGTTACAATGAATCTATCATTTCTAATATTATTGTTTACTTTTTGTTACCTGTACTTCCATTTATTTTCTGCTCGAGGTGTACGAAGCAACGAAGCTTTTCGCTAGACTATTTAGGATTAATAATTATTATAATAAAGAAAATGTGACAGCAATACATTTGATTAATTTGTCGTAATGTCAAAAATAGAATCTGGTTAGCAAAATTATTTAATTTATCGTTTTGTTTTCTTAGTGATTTATATACCTTTGATAAAATATGTAATTTGATTGATTTAGTCGAATAGAACCGAAAGTAACAATTTACTTAATGAAAATAAGCTTAAAAATACCCTATCAGCCCTTCAGAAGCCCTCTGCTGAGCAAGGCCTCTTTCTCACTTGGAGAAGGTTTGAGCATTAATCACCACGCTTGTAAGACGGGTTGGTGATATCAAACTTATAATTGTGAAACTATAAGTCCAGGTTTCCTCACGATGTTTTCCTTCACCGTATGTCAGTGATGTCTAAATACTCTCAGAAAGTACATATGACTCCGAAAAATCACATTGGTACTTGCCAAGGCTTGAAAATGCGCCCTCGGCAACGAGAGGCTGGTCCCTTAACTACTAGCCCACCACTGACCATTGTAAAAATACGCGTTTGATTAATTACATTTGATCAGTATTTGACGTTCCAGATTAATGAAAGGGCATTTTGATGTTCTTCCGTTCTTATTAATCTTCTATATATATAAAAATGGATTGCTGTTCCTTAGTCTCGCTAAAACTCGAGAACGGCCGAACCGATTTGGCTAATTTTAGTCTTGAAATACTCCTGGAAGTCCAGGGAAGGTTTAAAAGGTGAGAAAAATTGGAATAATTACCGGGAAAACCCTAAAGACAGCCCTTTTCTATTTCCCATACAAACGTTTTTTTTTGACATTACATTTGACAACTAACTAATATGTCAATCATTCTGTTTGATTGAAACAGGAAAAACCTGATTATTTATGGCCTCTAAGACGGAATAGAGTTCGCCTGGTCAGCTATACCTACATATATTACTCTTGACCAAACTAACGCGGACGAAGTCGCGGGGAAAAACTAGTCATATTATAAATATGTATAGAATATAGATGATTTGGATTATTCTATCGCGTCTGTACTTGTTTAGTTTATAATTTGGACGATTTTAAGGTCATACTGGATAGATTGTTACTGAGATAGTACGTCTACTATATACACCAGCACTCACATATAATATATATGTATACATATGTATGAAGAAACTGCATCGAGACACTGAGACACTCTAAAACTCTAGCAATACTTAGCCATAATATCGTTTAGTTCAAGCTGCCAATTGAAAGGCACTTGTGCGGAAACAAAAGGTATCAGATAACAATAGCTACACGTCACTGTCGAGTATGTATAGTGTGAAAATGTTACCCACATATATGTATATATGTATGATTTAGGTGAAGGGAAACTTATATAGAAGAATAAAACGCATTGAGACGTGAGTAGGAAAATAAAGATAAATGCGGAGAGATTCTAAAGGAAATAATATTGATTATTAATTTGATATTAAGGAAATCTTTTTATTTGAAAGTATACGTATTAGACTGAATTTGAATGAATTATCGTAGTATTTTAGTTACATATATTCTATGCCAGATCTACGCAATTATCCGCCTCTTACAATAAGCAATATATATCTTGTAATTTTTTATTTTCTGACAAAAATACTGCCTTATATAAGAGCACCATATGTATACCGTATTTTTTTTTAAGTGGCTCTAATAATGCTTTTAATTAGTATCTAATTAAGACTAGATAAATTAACCTAATATTTGAGCTTATCATTTGACTAATATAAAAAGAAACATCTAGGCTCATCTGATAATAAAGATTTTCGTTTAATTAAAATTATTCCATTTCCTTCTTAAATTTTAAATGTATATATAATCTTTACTGACCGTATATAAAACGTTTATAAACTATTCATTCATGATAATATAATTTCAATAAACGATATATCGTTTTGTCTTCAATATTTTGTTCTGAGCTTTAAGGGAATAATACTCTAAGATTTTATACAGAAACTATTAGAAAAATTACTATAATAAAAATATATAATACTCATACATTAGAGGCACTTGATCTAACGACATTTCCAACCGTGTCAAAGATAGGATATAAGGTGTCGCTTGCTTTCAAATTAGCTTACATATACTCCTATACTTCAATACACTTAAGAAGCAAATATCATTAACCTAAATGGGCAATGTTGGTGAGGATGAAATTGTAGGTCAATTAGATTTGTATAAGAAAATTTTAATTTACATTGTTTGTTTTGTTCTAAATATAAAGTTAATCTTGGGTCACAGTATAAGGACAAATGTAGCAATTTAGGCATTTTCATTTTTTGCTTTAAACACTTCATTATATAATAATCATTTAAAAAATGCTTATTTTTGGTGGAAAGACTTAGTTTTTATTAATAAAAGGGCATAAGTAACACGCTTTGTAACGTATAGGGGCTTATATATACATTATTTAAAAAACCAGGAGGTTTAAAATGTATCAAGCTTAAATGACGTAAATTAATGTCATAGTTGCTATACAATTTCAAAAGCATTAGTTGTCGCATGTAAAAGATACATTGAAATCAAACTTAAAACGCCTCTACTGAAAATTTAACATTTTGCACATTGGCCCTTATACATAAGAGCCAATGTAGAATCTATTCAATGTACAAAATTAAGTAATACGATGTTCCCAGACTTTGCTTGCGACGACCTAGTTAGTTACAGTTGAAGCCTGAGTTAGTTTTGAACTTTGTTTCCTCATACAAAAGTTTCGTGTAGTCACTATAACTTCACCTTTGTCTTTGTTACTGATAGTGTTTATACATTAATTTGTTATATTACACTTTGTTTACTTTGTTAATGGAATGTTCTATTAAAACTGAAATTATTTTCTTAACATACTATAAGACTGACACGTTTTTTTAGACGACAGAGCTTTAAAAAGAAGGCCTTTAAGAGCCACGTGAAAGACGAAACCGTTTCTCTTTTTGCCAAAACCAAAATTCAAACTATATCTATATAGAAACCACATTTATTTAAAATACATTATACTATCCAAATACGATATGTTTTTGCGAAACTCTTTTGTTATTATATATATGGTTGTTCGTTATGATTGTTTGTCACGATTCTAATACTTTTATGGTGTTGGTACGGAATGCATTTAGTGAGTCGGTAACACTATTCAGAATACTGATACATTCAATATTAATACTGGTAGTTGGATAATAACTACATGATACTAAACAAAAGTAATATTTTCGGATTACTTTGCCTTTTTATTCGTTCTGATCACGGTTGCTGTAAAGAAATCTAAAAGTCGGTAGTGTGTAGTTTAAATAACTTAAAATATTAGTTTCATTTAAATGAATACTCGCAAAAGTCTAATAATATTATAAAACAGATACTTTTTGTATGATCTATAGATTACTAGTCTCGTTTATTACTCGATTCAATATCGAAGTATTTAGAGATATTAATACTAATATAAAAACATATGGGTTATATTTTAACCTCCAATTCTGTAATGTTCCAGTTGAAACTAAGGTCAAAATTGTGTTTTGTATAATTTTTTAACCTTTTCCAAAGTCATATAATGTAATAATAGTATGTTTTCTGATCTTATACTTATACTATTAAATGATGATCTTATATGTACTATTAAAATATCATATGTCTCAAAAAGGATAAAAA